ATTTAATCTGAGAGTTGAGAGAGCAATAGGAGTAAAAATTATCCAAGCCAAAGTAGAAATTGGAGAAGGAGAAAAGCGTTTTAGAGACACTAGCTACCTATGTAAAGGCTGGAGGCAATCTGAAAAACTGGTGCACTGATAGGATAGGGGTATGAAAATATGAGTAGTTGACTATAAGAGCATAGTTAGCAAGACAGTTAAGAGTTGTTAAGAGATGAAGCTGAACCTGGATGGAAAGAGGTGGTCAATGTAAGAGAAGTTCAAAATGTAAAATTATTAAGACTGTAAAATTAGACCAGGCACCGTGGCTCACACCTGTAATCCCAGTATTTTGGGAGGCCAAGGCGGGTGGATCACTTGAGGTCAGGAGTTCAAGACCACCCTGGCCAACATGGTGAAACCCCATCTCTACTAAAAATACAAAAAACTGACTGGGTGTGGTGGCTCACGCCTGTAATCCCAGCAGTTTGAGAGGCCAAGGCGGGCCGATCACGAGGTCAAGAGTTCGAGACCAGCCTGGCCAACATGGTGAAACCCCGTCTCTATTAAAAATACAAAAACTAGCTGGGTGTGGTGGCAGGAACCTATAATCCCAGCTACTTGGGAGGCTGAGGCAGGAGAGTCCGCTTGAGATCAGAAGACGGAGGTTGCGGTGAGTGAGCTGATTATGTGCCACTGCACTCCAGCCTGGGCTCCATCTCGGGGGTAAAAAAAAAAAAACTAGCCAGGTATGGTGGCAGGCACCTGTAATCCCAGCTACTCAGGAGGCTGAGGCAGGAGAATTGCTTGAACCCAGGAGAAGGAGGTTGCAGTGAGTCGAGATCACGTCATTGCACTCCAGCCTGGGTGAAAAGAACGAAACTCCATCAAAAAAAAAAAAGACTGTAAAATTAGAGCTACAGTAGAGACAAAGATGGCTTCCCTGTCTATCTCTGGTGGCTGAAATGACCATACTAGCTTAACTTTTGAGATTCAAGCCAAACATAATCTAATTCTCATTGTATTTACTTTCATAAAGTACTTGGGTTGTCTTACCAAAACCAGATCCTAACCCTTTCCTGCTGAAAACCCTTTTCCTGTATAGATTGAATATCTCTTATTCAAAATGCTTAGGGCTGGGTGCAGTATCTCATGCCTGTAATCCCAGCACTTTGGGAGATCAAGGCAGGAGGATTACTTGAGCCCAGGAGATCAACACCAGTCTGGGCAACATAGCAAGATCCCGTCTCTAAAAAAAAAAAAAAAAAAGTTTTTTAATTTGTTGATCATGGTGGCACATGCCTGTGGTTCCAGCTATTCAAGGGACTAAGGTGAGAGGATCACTTGAGAACAGGATGTCAAGGGTGCAGTAAGCCACGATAACACCACTACATTCCAGCCTGGGTGACAGAATAAGATCCTATCTCAAAAAAAGAAAAAAATGCTTGGGACCAGAAGTGTTTCAGATTTTGAATTTTGTTGGATTTTGAAATATGTGCATTATACTTACCACTTGAGCATCCCCAAGCTAAAAATCCAAAATCAGAAATGCTCCAACGAGCTCAACATCCAAAATCAGAAATGCTCCAATGAGCATTTCCTTTGGGCATCGTGTCAGCACTCATTAAGTTTCAGATCTTGGAGCATTTTGGATTTCAGATTTTCAAATTAGAGATACTCAACTTGTAGTTATAATAAAACCTTAAATGTCCATAAAACACAGCCTGTAAGGATTTGGCTCTCACCTGCCCATCATCATCTTCTCGTATCACTTTCCTTCTCACTCAAAACCCTTAAACACTGCTTTCTTCAATTCTACAAAATGTTACAGATATTGGCCTCCTCAGGGTGTTATATATGATGTTCTTTCTCCCTAAAATTTTCGGTTTTTCCCCCCACTCTCATCTATTTATCTTTCAGGTTAACTTAAATATCATGTTAGCAAACATAACTTCTATGACTCTCTCCTCCCCCAATTTAAGTTAGGACCCATGGTTATTTTCCATACCCTATTTATGATTACGTATTTAAGGCTACATGTTTGTCTATCTCCTCTTCTAGAGCAAGTTAGGGCACTGACTTTGTCTTTTTGGTTCCTCAGTATATATCCAGTTCCTAGCACAGTGTACAGTCGTGTACAGTAAGTGCCCAAACATGATCAAATATTGAATGAATCACTCAATGCACAAGAAGGAGAGCAGGTTTGAGGAGAGAAAAGTTTCAGGTTTGGATTTTTAAATCCGAAGTGTCTATACAATATCCAAGAGGAAATGTTAAGCAAATACACATAATTAACTGGATTTCAGGAGAAAGATATGGGACAGGGTGATTGATATGAGGGTAAACAAGTATATGGTAACTGAAGTTATTCACACGAATTAGAATATAAAGAAAGAATACATTTTACAACAGAAAAAAAAGAAAGGCTAAGACTAAGAAAGAACTATCAAATTCACAGCAGGGAAATAAGAAGCAGCCAAACCACAGTGTGTGATACTATGGCAAAGGTGATTTCAAACAGAGTTAAAAAGTGTTGAATATGCTGGGCACAGTGGCTCATGCCTGTAGTCCAAAGCTTTGGGAAGCCAAGGTGGGAAAATCACTTGAGCCCAGGAGTTTGAGGCTTCAGTGAGCTATGATTGTGCCACTGCACTCCAGCCTGGGCGACACAGTGAGACACTATCTCAAAAAATAAAAATAAAAATAAAAATAAAATAGTTCACATACTACAAAAAGATAAGGTTCAATAAGTAAAAGGAAAAATAGCAGGGTCCTATGGAGAAGAAAGAAGTAGAAATCTCAGTGATGTCAAGGTGTGGTGGGAACCGTGGAATAAGGAAGCTCAGCTGATTGAAGGCTGACATCACGCATAACATTAGAGATGTGACTCCCCCAACTCTTGAACCTACCAAAGTATCATAGTGTATGTCTGTGTTTATGCATGTGTGCATAAACTATAAATAGGTTCCATTTAAAACAGCACTTGATTTATAAGTGTTCTGAGCACATTTAAGGTAGGGTAGGCTAAGCTATGATATTCAGGTTAGGTAGATTAAATGCATTTTCAATTTACAGGACTTTCACTTTACAATGGGTTTATGAGGAGGTAACCTCATTGTTAAGTCCAAGAGCATCTGTATATTAAATAAGGTGTTTTTAAAAAGAAACATACATAAAATAAGTTATAGACTGAGAGGCTGACAAAAATGTTATGACCAGAGGCCCACAGGAACTTAACTCTGAATTTCCCCTAGTTCAGTATTCATTAATACAGTGTTCACAGTGCCTTTATAGAACAAAACTACTCCAAACAAGAACAAACTGTACCTTGAATGTGACACCTTTATGAGTGTAAAATTAACAAGACAGGGCAACAGAGTTCATTCATCAAAATAAGTTACCATTTTCCAACATACAGTATTATTGCATAAGAGTACTCAGTAACTTGAGTGTCAAACAGTTCAGAACACTAAGTGCTAAAGTTCTATGGAAAAGATTCCTATAGCTCAATATTCTTCCCCAGCTAGGAGGGTAAAGCTGTCTTTTGCCATAATTTGGAGCACATGAAGGCAGGCATCAGAAGTCGAAATACAAAGCCACCAGAGTTAGAGAAGGAAAAAGTAAGTTCAAAATTGGCAGCAAAAGCAAGGTATCACTGAATACAAGAAATCAGAAGATTGAGCCTGTGTCCCAATGGGAGTTCACGTAAAGGGCCTAGGAGCAGGTTTGCAACCAGTGAACAGCGAAGGTAGATCTTAAGAAACTGCTAAGATTTTGATTAGCCACTGTGCTCACACCTTTACATTTCAGAGGTATCACCAACCTTTTTCATGCTCTCACTCTGAAAAATTATTTTATCCAATTGTGATGGTTAATTTTGCGTCAATTTGGCTAGGCCGCAGCTCCCAGGTATCTGGTCAAATACTATTTAGGTGTTTCTGTGAAGATTGTAAGAGATTAACATTTAAATCTGTAGGCCTTGAGTAAAGAAGATAGTACTTCAAAGTGTAGGTGGACCTCATCCAATCAGTCAGAGGCTTTAAAGACTGGCTTTAGCAAAAAGGGAATTCTGACGGAAGACTGTCCTCAGACTGGGACTCCAACTCCTTCCTGTGTCTTCCTGCCTACCAGCCTGTCCTGCAGATTTCTGACCTGCCAGCTTCCACAACCATGAGCCAATTCCTTAAAATAAACCAATCTCTCTCTCTCCATATATAAATGTGTATATATACACATCCTATTTTTTGTTTCTATGGAGAACATCGACTAATACATCAATATAAATTTTGAGATAGAGATGTAAAAATACTAAAGTAACAAAACATTAGCCCTCTAAGACCTGTAAGCTAAACAAGGAAGGAGTCTATTTGGGGTATACTGACCTCACACAATAACTGGCACATCACAGGAATTCAGTATTTGTTGAATGAATGAATATTAGCAACCTTGTATATCCTCAAACAATAACTTCTATTTATTGACTATTGTTTCAGGTACTATGTTGAGAGGTACTTTATCTTTCTTTCTTCAATGTTTTATTCCCACAACATCCCTTCAAGACAGCAATTTTAAGTCCCCATTACAGAGATAAGAAAACCAAGGCTCAGAGTTGAACTATGTTGCCCATGATAACAGCATAATCAACAGCTAAGACAGTTCAAAGATGTGTATGATTCTTCAAACCTCACAGAAGACTAAGAGAACATAAAATAGGAGATGTACCGACTCTTCACCTTCTGAAGTGTAGTCATTTAAAGAGGCAAAGATAAGAAATGGTTGTACTTCTTACAGCAAATTGTGAAGTATGGCATGGCAGTACTAACAGAACATAAAAACCATTTAGCTAAACTTATCTTACAGCTCCACATATAATCTTTTAAGGGTGATGTCACTAGATACATTCACTCCCATACAGTAACGCTTAATGTCACTCCTTGAGTCACTAAGTCTGACCTTTCACAGCAGTTCTCAGTAAATTTTCATCAGCTTTCACGATGTTTAGAAAATAATATGCACACATATTACCAAGCACAAATAAATGTTTTATTTAACACTTAAGCAGAACATTTTTCACTATACATCTATATAACGCACAGTACTAAAAAAGTGCAAAATATTCATCATAAACAAGAGGAAAGTGAATACCACAATGGTTGCATCACTCAACTAGGTAATCTTGCTCTCGTTAACAAAAACACAGCTTTTTCTGAAAGTTTTTTGGACGTTAACAGCTGTTCAACATCTTCTTTCATCTAATTCTTTCTGAACTGCTTCAGGTTGCCTAGCACGTACGCAGCTGGTGTTAAGAAGGTCGTAAAAAACACCACAAGTCCAACAGCCATTTCCTGGAAGAGAAGATGAAATGCGCTGCTGAGTATGGCTTCCTGGACCACTGACTTGCCGCCTAACAAAAAGTACTTTAAAAAACATTTTGATCAACTAGACCGTTGTCCTAGAAACAGGAAATCTAAAATGCTGAAATCTAAAATGCTGAAAATCGATTCATGGATCACCTGATTTTTTTTTCAACGGTTCTCCGGTTCCAACCTTCGCACTGTGGAATTTCGATGCGGCCCAGGATTTCCACCATTTTATCGAAAATGTTAAATCTTGGCAGTGCCGAGGACGTCCGAGGATGGTAAACCGTTCCTCCGCGAAACCATAGCCCTGCCCCCGAGCCAGGTGCCGGTAAAGGGTAACAACCAAGGAGGCCCAATCCCCGCGCGGCCCTCAGGGTCCCGGGCTTTCCGCCCCTGCGCCTGACGACAGCATCCTCACTGCGACCCTCTCCCAGGAACCTCCCCCAACGGCGGCCAAGCCACAGGAGCCTCCCACGCGAGGCCAGCAAGCCCTGTCCTCCCTTCTTCCCACCCGTCGGGGCGCCCTGCCTGGGCCACGCGCTTCCCGCCCGCCCTGTCCGCGCCGCCATGATGGCTGGGTCTCAACTCACGGCGGCAGAAAGGGGCCGCTGGCGCGCGGGCTCAGAGTGGGCGAAGCGGGGAGCCGGCTGCAGGCCAAGCAGGGCCACGTCGCGGTAGTGGCGGCGGACAGGACAGCGCCCACGCAGGAGAGGCATGTCGCGTCAGGTAAGACAAAGTCAGGCGAAGTCAGCACAAGCGAGGTGCTGCCAAGTAGCGCGAGTTCCAGTGAGCGTGAGGCAGCTGGTTTGCGCAGGCGCCCCAGCCACGAGGGGGCGCTCTGCCTTCGCCCCTACCCCGCCCCTTCCGCCCAGCACCCCCTGCTCTGCCCCACCTCTTCCGCTCACCACTCTTTGTGCTGCACTGCTTTTTCCAGTCAGCATTCTGTGCTCTGCCACACCTCTTCTGCTCAGCACCCCCTGTTCTACCCCACTTTTTCTGCCCAGCACCCCCTGCTCTGCCCCACCCCTTCTGCTCAGCACCACTTGCTCTGCACCGCCCCTTCCACCCTGCAACCCCTGCTCTGCTCTACTCTCTCCGTTCAGCACACCCTGCTCTGCCCTGCCTTTTCCACTCAGCGCCCCCTGCAACCTCCCAGCCCTCATTCACCTCACTTTCCACCCACGTGTCCTATCCTCTCCTAAACTCACCTGCCACCCTCCCCTGGGCCCCAACCCCACCTCACACTAAGTATCTCTTTTCTGCTGGGTAAGCTGAGGGACTTGGCACCCCTACTCCTTCCCTTTGTCTTCCTCTCTACCTATACTTTATATACCTCTTAAAATGCCCTGGCATTGGCAGAGTTTATAGCACACTGTTCTCTAATGCAAATTAAATCTTCCATAAATTGTCTGTAGGTTAATTCTTAACACTGAAAACCAAGAACAAATTTCTGTAGTCTGCTGATGATATAAAAAATATTCTTGGCAGGGTCAAATGAGTGTTTGGACCCGGTAGAAAAGGTGATGTAATTATCTGTCACTAAGGCTAATTTTCTTATTCTTTGGTAGAGACGGGTCTCACTGTGTCACCCAGGCTGATGTCAAACTCCTGGGCTCAAGCTATGCTCTTGTCTCAGCCTCCCAGAGTACTGGGATTACAGGCATGATGCACTGTGCCCAGACTCTCTTGAGGGAAAAGTAAATATACTGTGATTTTTAAATTTAGTACTGTAATAAAACTTTATCCACTACAATGATTCTGTGTCTTCACATTATTCCTTTTGGGGGCCTATTGCGCAAGTAACACTCTAGGGTTTCTTTGAATTGCTGTGTTTCTGCAGCTGGTATCTTCCTCTTCCTTAGATTTCTTTTCATTTTGCTGTAGTACATCCTTAAGCAGTTCTTTCAGGAAGGGTTTGTAGGTGATAAAGTTCCTCAGTCCTTGGAAATCAAAATATATATATTTCCATTTAAATGCTAATTTGAATGGTTGTAGAACTCTGGGCTCAAAATCATTGTCCTTCAGAGATTTTCAAAAGGCATTGTTCCTTTCTTTTCCAGCACCTAGTGAGCTGATAAGAAATAAAATGCCAATATAGTTGTCATTCCTTGGAGTGCCCTCTTTTTCCTTTTGGGAATCTTTTAAGCATTCCTTTTTGTCCTTGGAATTGTGAAGTTCCTCCAGGATACTGTTAGATATGGGTATTTTTCCATTCATATGGATTAGTAGTGGGTAAGACCTTTCTATCTGAAGTCATGGTTCTTTAACTCTTTGGGAGCACTATTCCTGTTTATTTGCTTCTCTCTGTTTTCTGTGTTCTCAACCTAAAATTCTTATTGATGGACATTGGCCCTTCTTAGCGGGTCACCTCTGTCTTTCAACCTTTTTCTCACTCATCAACGTTTTGTCCCTTGTTCTACATTTTGCAAGATTTCCTTGACTTTTTCTTCTAGCCCATGCTTTTTTATTTTAGAATTATAGTTTTAAAACATACTATTTTTTGCTTTTACAGTCACCTGTTAGTATTTTATAGATGCTATCACTTTAGATTTCTTTCACAATATTAATCTGAACTTTTAAAAAGTTATCTCTATTCCATGAACTATCTGTGTTTCTTCTAGGGTACATTTTTTTTTATTCATTTTGAACCTGCTAGTTTTATTCAAACATCTTATGATCCTTGGTTGTCCCTTCATGCTTATGAATATTAAGAAGCAGGTCAGTTACTTTTGTTCCTTTCTGTTACTTTCTCAATCTGTTCAGGCTGTTAGAATACAACAGACTGGATGACTTATAAAGGACAGAAATGTATTTCTTACAGTTCTGGATGCTAGAAATTCAAAATCAATGTGCTGGTAGATTTCATGTCCAGTGAGGGCCCACTTCCTTGTTCTGGTTGTGTCTTCATATGATGGAAGCAACAAGGTAGCTCTCTGGGGCCTCTTTTATAAGGGCACTAATCCTATTCATGAGGGCTGTGTTATGATCTAATTGTTTCCCAAAGGCCCCACCTCCTAACTCTGGGGCATGTCTCACCATATTGGCTGGGTTGATATTGAACTCCTGGCCTCAAGCAATCCACCTGCCTCGGCCTCCCAAAATGTTAGGATTACGGGAGTTAACCACCATGCCCAGCCCATGTTACATTTCTACTGGGCAACTGTGCTCTGGAATCTTACCCTAACCAATCAAGGACCTGCATGAACCATGGTTAGCCACCTCCCTAACCTCATCTCCTTGTTCTCAGTCTTCCCTTGGCTTATCCTGCCCAGTCACACCAGGTAAACTCTAATTTTGCCTTAGATATCCCCAGATAATAATTTGAGCACCTCTAGGTTACATGAGTCCTGTAAGAAATGATTTAGTGCAACATTGCTCTGTTTCCTGACCACAGTTGTTACACTACTTGACTCAAATATTGGACCAAAGAGAGGGCTGGGACCCAGTCTGTTGGTTGGGATGGATGTTGTAACTTGGGAGCCATGTTTTTTTTCTACCTAGCAAGAAAGCCCTTCCACAGTGAGTTAATAATGCAGCCAAGCTGCTCAAAGAACCAGACATAAGAGCCAGAGGGAACATCCCACCTGTGTTCAAAGCCCTGGTTCTCCCTATTCTGAAGTTAGGACACTTTCCTCTCCTTGAGTTCTGGGCCTCTCTTTATATGCTTTATGATAAATCCTGCTTTGGGCTTAAACTAGGTGGTGCTGGATTTCTATTGCTAACAACAAAAGAGCTTTAAGAAAGACAATATTAGTCAAGCCTTTTTTCTTCGAGTAATACCCCATTTTTAATTTTTACAAAGCAACAAAAATTCTGAAGTAAAGTGAGAAAGAGCTCAATAATAGGCAAGCTTGACTGGTTTAATCCTAATCTTGAGAAGTTTAGAATAGAGTGCAGTTCAAGTGAGATTTAAGCATTTTAAGTCTTTCTCTGGGACAAAAGCCTTAAAACACTTTTGACAGTGGCAACTCCAAATTCAGCCACAACACAATTAAGCTCCCCGCCACCCACCCCCACCCCAGGAGACAGCTCTTTTAGATGCTCAAATTACCAATACAAACAGCATGCCTCAGTTTAATTTCTGCAAGTCACAAAAGACTAGCACTGTTAACTCAAATCTCTACAATTTTCAATAAATTGTATAGTGGGCTGGGATTCAATGTATTCTCAGTGACCCACAATGCAAGAACTTCCTTCTGCAGTTATATAAAAGGACTTAATTAGAGCTATAGCCTAGAGATCAGGTTTTCTGAGCTGTATGTACACAATGAATGAGAAAGACACCCTCGCCCACTTACCCTTTTTTAATGTGATTTTTATAAATGTTCATGCTCTAAATAAACTGGTGTTAAAGTTCTAGAAAATTATATAATGAATTAAGATTGCACTACCTCAGCCCCAAATATCTCGAATTCATTCCTCTCTAGAAAAACATGTTTAATTCTCATTCAAGAACCAAAGGCTTCAGAACAAAAGTCTCTGAAAAATAGGGGAGAAAAAAAGAGCCAAAGGCCTTTGAGGAACAAAGTGCCTCTCTTCGTATTTGCGTCTGTCTTTACAATTGCACAACCTCAATGATCGAGATACTCAGATAAATAAGCAACAAAAGCAGAAGAGTTGCAAAAGTGGGAAACACATTCAGGTTCTGCAACTGGCAACATCAGTAATACACTTGGATTGTAAGCACAACAGTAATAGAAGATGATATAGGAAGACATGCCCCTTGCTCCCCGTTGCCTTCCACCATGATTGTAAGTTTACTGAGGCCTCCCAAGCCATGCGGAACTATGAATCAATTAAATCTCTTTTCCTTATAAATTATCCAGTTTCAGGTAGTTCTTTATAGCAGTGTAAAAACAGACTAATATAGAAAATTGGTAACAGGAGTGGGGTACTGCTATAAAGATACCTAAAAATGTGGAAGTCACTTTGGAACTGGATAATAGGCAGAGGTTGGAAGAGTTTGGAGGGCTCAGAAAAAAGACAGGAAGATGTGGGAAAGTTCAGAACGTCCTAGAGATTTGTTGAATGGTTTTTACCAAAATGCTGATAGTATGATATATGGACAATGAAGTCCAGGCTGAGTTAGTCTCAGATGGAGATGAGGAACTTATTGAGAACTAGAACAAAGGCTACTCTTGCTATGCCTTAGCAAAGAGACTGGTGGCATTTTGCCCCTGCCCTAGAGATCTGTGGAACTTTGAACTTGAAAGAGATGATTTAGGGTATCTGGCAGAAGAAATTTCCAAGCAGCAAAGCATTCAAGATTTGACCTAGCTTTTTCTGAAAGCATACAGTCATATGCGTTCACAAATGGATGGTCTGAAATTGGAACTTATGCTTAAAACAGAAGCAGAGCATAAAAGTTTGGAAAATTTGCAGCCTAACCATGTGGTAGAAAAGAAAAACCCATTTTTGTGGGGAGAAATTCAAGCCACTGGCAATAAAAATTTGCATAAGTAAAGAGAGGCCAAATGTTAATAGCCAAGACAATGAGGAAAATTTCTCCAGGGTATTTCAGAGAGCCTCACAGCTGCCCCCCCATCACAGGCCCAGAGGCCTAGGAGGGAAAAATGGCTTCAT